TGGCAGCCTCACCAGGGCTGGGGGAGCCGCCGCCCCCGCAGGAGGCCAACCCTGTGTACATGTGTGGGGAGGGTGGCCTGCGGCAGCTGGACCTCACATGGCTGCGGCCCACTGAGCCGGGCTCTGAGGGGGACTACATGGTGCTGCCTCGGCGGACTTTGAGCCTGCAGCCTGGCGGTGGGGGTGGAGGCGGTGAGGATGCCCCCAGGGCTCGGCCGGAGGGGACCCCCCGGCGGGCTGCCAAGACAGTGGCCCACACTGAAGGCTACCCCAGCTTCCTGTCCGTGGACCACTCGGGCCTGGGGCTGGGCCCTGCCTATGGGTCTCTCCAGAATCCCTATGGAATGACCTTCCAACCGCCACCACCGACACCCAGCGCCCGCCAAGTGCCCGAGCCAGGGGAGCGCAGCCGGACCATGCCTCGCACCGTGCCTGGCTCTACCATGAAGATGGGCTCCCTGGAGGTGAGGGGCTGTAGGGAATGGGGTGTGTGTCTGAGACTCTGTGTCAGAGACTGTGTGTCAATCACAGGCTGCAGCCAGGAAGGGACAGCCTCAACCTCCCCAGAGCAGCCTTTTGTAAAAGTCACTGGGGGTGGGTACACTGAGCATTTCTCCCTCTGTTTCTGCTCATGGCAGCTCTGTGGGGTCTGTGAATCCCTCAGACACGCTGGGACTTCGTGCACTGGAAGTGCGCTTCTCGACTCGTTCGTACTTGCCTTAGGGCCTACTTTGGGGTGACTGGTTGGGATGAGTCCTCATTTCAGGAGACTGTGGCTCAGGCAGTGTGCTATGCTGTTGGGGAAGCCACATCATAGGGTGTGAGCCTGGGCTTCTGCATCACGCAGGTCTGAGTTCCAGTCTGGACTCTGTGATTGGCAGTGAGATCAGTGAGCCTTAGTTTTCTTGTGTGCAAAGTGGGGATAATGTAGCAATCTCTTCGTAGAGTAGTTTTGAGGATTGAGTGATGCAAAGCATTTATCTTCGTGTGGAGCAAGTAGAAAGTGCTAGATAATTGGGGATTGCTGCTGTTAGCGTCCCTGAAATCAGCTGCAGGCGCCGCCCACAGGCCTGTGATAACTGACCATCTCTTCCTGGGAAAAGCAAACCCCTCTGGGTCCCTGCCTGTGTGTGTTCTGTGAATGCTCCACCTTCCGCTGGCCTCCTCGGGTCTGCTCCCTGCAGAGGATCCCTGGGAACAGACAGACAGTAGTGACCTGCTGTGGAACTCTAGAACATTCTACAACTTTATTGGAGTCATGAAGTGGGTGTGGTTAAGGAAAGAGGCCAGAGTCATGGCTTAGCCACAAATGACTGTTCCTGCTCGGCCTCTTCTACCCACTCCCCATCCTCCACACAATGAAAATTAAGTGAGTAGCTAGGGGGCTCGCAAGTTTGGTTTTTCTCCCCAAATGTTTCTGGAACATTTGGTGCCTGCTCCTGCCACAGATGGCAAAAACAGGAAGGCGTAACAAAGACAAAACACAACACCAGCGTCGGAGAAGGGCACGCTTGGCGTCATGGCGGGTTTTGTTCTGTGGACACCTGCCTGCTGGCCACTGATGAGGGCGGACGTCAGGCTCCTTGTGTGGGAGGCAGCAGTAAATGCAGCAGCACTTTGAGGGGTCAAGGATGACATCCAGAATTCTGGCGTGGGCAACTGTGATGCGCGGAGGAGCAGGTTTGGGCAGGGAATTACAAGTGCATTCCATTGGTGTGAGCTGCACGTGCAGTGCGTGTGGGGCGTCAGACAGGGAGAGGTGCCCTGTTGCCCCCAGAAAGAGAGATGCGGCCAGGATGAGGAGGATACACAGGATGATGTGTGGTAAAGGCAAGATAAGGTGCCAGGGCAGAGCGTGAGTGCCTAGTATTAGAGAAGCCAGGGTGGGCAGCGGGGAGAAAGCAGGTAGGGAGAGGAGAGGAAAACCAGGAGAGTGGGTGCCATGGGCCCATGGTGGTCAGCACGTCCACAGGCCTGGGAGATCCAGATGGTGGTTCTAGTACCACCTTCGAAGGCCTGGGAGCGATTCCCTTCACCTCCCTGGGTCTCAGTTTCCCCATCTGTAACCTGGGAAAGTTGGCCTTGGCTTCATGGGTCTTCCTGTGCCAACATGTTAAGACTCTCAGGCCTCTTTCTTGAGTAGCACTGGGTGCGGTGCAGCTTACTGGGGCCTTGAAAGTGGTCTGGGGCAAGGAGAGCCAGGAGAGGCATGAGGGAGCAGAGAGGCCAGGGAGGCAGTGCCTGGTTTGGCAGGAAAAGGGGCAGTGTGAGGTCAAAGGAAGGTTTCTGAAAGCCTGAATCCCTGTGTTTGCAGGACAAGTGGAAGATTCCAAGGGGAGGGGTAGCTATGGCTGGCAGAGAGAATGGGGCAAGATGGGGAAGGATGCAGGGTGGGCTCTAGGGCACAGAGAATGAGCATCGGCTCTGATTCCATGTGGGCATCGCGGCCTGCCATGTTGGAAGTTCGCACCATGCCATTTGACCCGTGTATGTGTGTCTGTGTATGTTCAGTGAGGCCTAAAAAGCTGCCCCATGAGGGTCCCTAACTTCTGGGCCTGGGCTGGGGGAGTTGCAGCGGGCAGACCCCTGGGGTGCCAGGCTTCCTGTCTCTAAAGCCCCTGCATGTGGTAAAAAGCTTTCTTCTCCTCCACCGCCTCCTTGTTGCTCCTTCCCAGCGAAAGAAATTACGGTATTCAGACCTGGACTTTGAGGTAAGGGCCGTGTGTGTGCTGGGCGGTGGGACATCTGGCTGCGGTGTCTGTCCCTGGAGGGCCCACTCCTAAAAGTAGTCCAAGCTCTGTTGCAGAGCCTGACCCCAGGAGCCCAAGCCTGTGGGTTCTGTGGGATCTTCCCATGATTCCCTCCCTGCCCAAGCCCATAGCACAGATGTGAAGAGAACCAGGGCTTGTCCCAGAGGGGCTGGCAGCAGGGAGGGATGTGGGGGGCCCGGGGTGCTGAGTGCCCTGGGTAGGGGGGATCATGGTTCTGCCTCAGGGAGCAACCCTCTGATGCCCTGTGGCCCCTAGAAGGTGATGCACACCCGGAAACGGCATTCAGAACTCTACCACGAGCTCAACCAGAAGTTCCACACTTTTGACCGCTACCGCAGCCAGTCCACGGCCAAGGTGAGGGCTCCTCCCATGGCTGCCCCTGCCCCGAAGCTCAGGGCCTGACCTGGTGCAGCAGCCCCTGGGGTTGGAGCCTGACCGGTGGCCCCCGTTGCAGAGGGAGAAGCGGTGGAGTGTGTCCTCGGGTGGGGCGGCCGAGCGGAGCGTGTGCACCGTGAGTCCCCCCGGGCTGGGTGTGGTGAGGTGGGCCTGAGGGACCCGTGCCCTCCCTGCCCTCCTGCCCCTCCCAGGCATCCCCAGCCTGTCTCACCAAGGGCCTCCCCCATGGCATGGGCAACAGTCTGGGGCCGTCTGGGGGTGGGGAAGGTGCCGCAGATGGCGAACAGGGGTGGAGGTCCTCCAGGATTGGGAGGGAGAGTGGTCAGCAGGAGACATGTCCCGGGGGCCACTGAGAACAGGCAGGGGTCAGGAGCCCCACCCTGGAACCAGGCAGGTCTGTATTTGAACTCTGCTTTGACACCTGATTGCTCCATAATTTTGGGCATTACCAGCCCTCTCTGGGCCTCCTCAGTTTGTTCTTCTGTACAATGGGTGAGGATACTGGACCATCTCCATGGCCCCTCCCGCTCCCTCCACAGGATAAGCCCAGCCCCGGGGAGCGCCCCAGCTTGTCCCAACATCGGCGCCATCAGAGCTGGAGCACCTTCAAATCTATGACACTGGGCTCGCTGCCCCCCAAGCCCCGAGAACGGCTGACTCTGCATCGGACAGCAGCCTGGGAGCCCACAGAACCACCGGATGGTGACTTCCAGACAGAGGTGTGAGTGCCACGCTGGACTGCCCACTGCATATAAATATATATATCTCTCTATTTTCACACTCCACTTTGGAACTACCCAGGAGCCAGCACCCTCTCCCCTCTCCCGAGGGCTGGGCAGGGAGGCGCCGTGGACTCAGCCAGGCTTGGGGAGCCAGACACGGCTTGGCCTAGGGGCCCAGGGCCCTTCCTTGTTTCTCAGAGGCCCCTCAGCCACTGGAACCCCATCTTCAGCCCAGCCTGTCCATCCCTGTCCCGGGCTGGGGAGGGGGGAGGGGAACTTTGTTGGGAATAAACTTCACTCTGTGGATTTTGCTGCTGAGCTCTTTGCTTCCCTCAGGTAAAGGCCCAGCTCTGGGACCCTGACTTTGTTCCTGTCTCCTGGGTTGAACTCACTTGATCTCATCAGATTATGTGATGGGGTTGGGCCAGCCCTGCCTGGGAGGGGGCAGCCTAGGCTCTGACCCCATCTTTGTCCCTGACTCTCTGGGTGACTCATCCTTTCCCCGATCTGGGTTGGGGAAAGCAGATTGGGAGTGTGGGAGAGGACCTCTTATGGCTGGCCTTCCCTGGTGGCTGTGATGGTCATGGCTGCCATTCACTGGGGCTCAGAGGCCAGACTGCCTGGGCTAGAGCCAAGACAGAGCTTAGTGACCTCGGTTCCACATCTGTGAAGTGGGGATGGTAACAATGCCCACCTCACAGGGTTGTTACGGGGATGAAACAAATTCCTATGTATAACGTGCTCAGCAAATACCTGGGACAGGATAAGCTCTTGAAGGATTAGCTGTTACCACATGGCACCAGTCTCATGCAGTGCTCTAAGCTAGGAGCTTCACACACGTCCCCTGGCCCCTCATAACAACCCTGTTGTTGGTCCATTTTGTGGATAGGAAAATGAGGCCAGAGATGGGAAGTGCCCTGCTCTAGGCCACAGTTAGGCAGAGCTGGGACTTCAAACCCATGCTTGGTGGAGGTGGGGCTTCAGCTCAGCTTCCTGGAACTTGACCATGGCTGCAAGGGGGGCCTCAGGCGCTGGGTTGTGGTGGAGCTGCAGGTGTTGGGCCAGGCCAGGGCTAGGGTGGGGTGGGGTGGGGTGCGGGAGCCAGGCTGGCTTGGTGCCGGGGGCAGGAGGCTTGTGCTGAGTTGCATTCGTTACATGCCTGAGTGAGCAGATCCTTGCTCAGTTCTCAGGCCCCCGGAAAGAGGGGGCACAGGATGACATGTGGGAACATCTTCTTGAGTCAGGCAGCAGCTGGAGCGGAGGCACAGTTAACAGGGTCAAAGGTCCTTGCTCGCCTGGTCATTTAGCAACATGGGCGCCTCTGGGCCCCTTCCCACGGACTCAGAGACACAGACACAGGTCCCTGGAGAGCTGAGGAAGGGCCAGGTGCTGCGGCAGCCTGGGTGGGAGTGACAGAAGTGACTGGCTGCTGGGGTAGGGGGTATCACAGATACTGGCCTGCCCAGGGGGGCTGGAGGAGGGGTGGAGGCCTCTTCAGAGTTTTGCAGGCCTTGATGGCACAGGCTTGCTCTCAGTCTCATTCCAATCCTGCCTGCTGTGAGACCTGGTCAGAGGAGCCGTGCAGGCAGAGTCCACTCAGGACTGTGCTCCTAGACCCTCGGAGCTCCTGCGAGTCACTCCTCTGCCTCCCTCCCTTCGGGCAGCCCCAGCACTTCAGTGTACACAGAGCTCACTCAAGCACTACCTCATTTGATTCTTCAAGGTAGGTATTGTGACTGCCCCATTTTAGAGATGAGTAAATCGAGGCTCAGAGAGGGGACATGACTTTCCCAAGTTCCCACAGCTTGTGACTGGGACTTGTGGCTGGGAGTGGCAGAATCTGATACCAGCCAGCTTAGGCACCTGGGAGCTTTGTTCACGCAGGAGCATGCTATGGCAAGGACAGCAGTGGGCAAGTGCGGCCGGCCTTGGTGATAGGACCTGGGATCAGGAGTGCCACCGCATGTTTCATCCTTTCCTGGCATTCTCTGGAATGTGTATCAGCTTCATTCCTTAAAGCCTCTTCCCCCAGGGCCCGCCAGGCTTCCTCCTCCCAGCTCCATCACTCAGCATTGCCCCTAGAGGGGAAGGAACTTTCTCTCTTGAATCCCAATTAGAAAACCCTCAAGGAAGGAAGAGCTCGGGCTGGCCCCAGGCAGGAGGCTGGGGCACTGTGATTGGCGGTCCCATCAGGAACCTTGGGGGAGAGGGAGAGGGGGGAGAAAGGGGGGGCCTGTTTGTAGAAGGGGATTTGCACAAACAAAGCCCCCATTCCCGGACCGTGTACCAGCAGACCCTGCTCCACATCCTGGGCCATTCCTTCCTCTGCCCATCACCTAAAGGCCCTCTTAGTGCCTTGTCCTGTGCTCTCACCTCCCTCCTTCGTGCTCTTGGGCTCCGCTGGTCACCACCTCTGGGGCCCTCTGGGGCTGAGGTGCAATGTGCACATCCCTGCCCTCCTGTCCATTCCTGCTTTGCATCTGGTTGAAGAGGAAGTTTAGTATTTACCTTGTTGATTCTGCTCAAACACAAACCACAGCTGCCAGCAGAGGCCTCTGCTGGTTTTGGGACCAGCCACTTAGCATTCCTGGGTTGGGGGCTTTGTCCCTTCCTAGCCCTCAGTCCCTGCTCTCCCAGGCACTGACTTGCTGTGTGACCTTGGACAGGCCACTGGATCCTGTCTGACTTGGGTTTCCCTATCTGCAAAATGAGTTGGTCCAATATCCCTTCCATTTGAGCTAATATCTAACAACCTGTCATTTCTTTTCTGGACTCAAATTTCTCACATCATTGCCCTCATTTTCTCTGCCTCCAGTCTCCAGCCCTTCATCCACATGGCCCAAGTGATCTTTCCAAAATGCAGATCTGGCCAGGCCACTGCTCAGACGCCTTCTGTGGATCCTGGAATTAGCCTAGAGTTCAAGGCCCTTGGCAATGTGGCCCTTGCCTCCCTCCTCTGGCCCATCTCTCTGACCTCCATGCCTATGCATGTACCATTCCTTCTGCCTGAAACTCCCTCCTTCTCACAGAGGGAAAACTCTCCTTCAGCCTTCCAGACCCAGCCCAAGTAGCCCGCTGTGCGATGCTGTCCGTGAACTGCCTGGCCCAGCAATCAGCACTCTCTAGGCCCCCACAGGCCTTGGCAGCACTGTCACTGCTGCACTGATCACACAGAACTGCTGTCATCTGTGTTGACCTTACTGCAGTTTATGCACTCAGAGGCCCACATGAAGCAGGCATCAGTGGATCTTTAGTGGGTGAAGGGTGGAATACACAAATCTTCCTGAGCATTGATTTCCTCATCTGCAAAATTGGGATAATGACAATCCCTACCCAGTCTTCCTCACTGGATATCCGGAGCATGACTTAAGATGATTCATGGGAAGCATTTTGTAGGTGTTAATCTACTCCTCCCACAGTTATTCCTTCCTCAACCCCAAGTGGGAAGCCAGCCCTGGATGCTGTCCAGGGTGCTGAAAGGGACGTGTCTTCTCCCAAAGGATGAGGAGACAAGACTGAGAGGCCCACACAAGCTCAGCTGCAGCCTTTCCTTGCTTTCCTGACTGGCAGGGTCAAGGGTGAGCAGACTGTCCCTACCTTCATGAGAAAAGACCCTGCGACATGTCCAATAAAAATACAATGTAAACGACATACGTAATTTAGAATTTTCTAGTAACCATTTAAAAGTTTAAAAAGGTGAAATTCATTTTAATATATTTCATTCTATATATTAAAAAAGATCATTTCAACATATAATCAATATAAAAAATGACTGAGATATATTTAACATTCTTTTTTATACGAAGTCTTGGAAATCTCGTGTGTTTTATGCATACAGTGCACCTCAAGTCAGTCTCACCACCTTCTGACTGCTTAGTACTCCCATGAGGCTACCATGTTGGACAGCACAGCTCTAGGAAGAACAAAGGCAGTGACCTTGAGCAAGTGAACTCAGTGCCCTCTGTGAAAAGGAGGTACTTCCCCACAGCCTGCCTTATGGGGCCATGGAGAGGGCTTGAAGAGGCGAAGGAGGGAAAGTTGCCAGCACAGTGCCTGCACAAGGGAGGTCCAAAGCCAGGGTTCCTGGGATCCACATATCCTGGGGATACCGGTGGGCAGGGAGGAGGTGTTGGGGAAGTAGGGGAAGGTCTTGAGGAGACCTGTGGACTGGTATCAGGCCTCCCTCAGCAGCTCTGGGGGAAGGGTGCACCCTCACCCTCACCCTCACCCTTACCCTTACCCCTGCAGCCACAGACTCTGCGAGAAGGGAAGCAAGTTGAGGCTAGACTAGAACAGACACATTAAAACTCAATTGGGCTTAAATCACTTCCATTAGGTGCCAGTTTAAAGGAAATTAGGTGGCCTGAGGGAGGACCTGGGTGCGGGATGCTGCTGACTTCTGCTTCTCAGGACTCATTTCCCTTTAGGCTTCCTCATGCCCACCCTGGAACCTCATGGGGTCGCCCAGTTGGGGCTTTTCTAATCCAGTCCCCAGTACCCACCATATTCCTCCCTCCACTCCTCCAAGGCCACCTACTCCAGGAAGACTTCCACACTCTCAGGCCCTGAAAATACATGCTAAGTGTCCAAGGCAGAGGAGACTCCATTGGGGGTTTTGGCCCTTAAGGAGAGTGGGAAGCTATGGAAGGGTGTTGAGCAGGGGACTGGCATGATCAGATTTCTATATCAACACAATTTCTCTTGAGTAGATGAAAAATGGATTGGTGGGGGCAGGGACACTGAAGAGTGAGGGTGGATAGAGAGAGACCAGCAAGGAGATGATCTGCATTAAGGAGACTTTAGAGGGTGTTGTGGAGGAGGAATGGAATTTCTATATATGTAGTGGGTAGAATTGTCAGCACTCAGCACCTGGTGTGGATTGGGTATCAGAGGATGACACCTGGGCTTCTGTCTTACACACCTGGATGGATAACCGGGTCATTGGCATAGGGGTACAGGAAGAGGACCAGCTTTGGGGGAGACGGTCATGAATTTGTCCTTGGGCATTGTCTTAGTCTATTTTGTGCTGCTATAACAATACCTGAGACTGGGTCATTTATAAAGAACAGAGATTTATTTCTTGCAGTTCTGGAGGCTGGGAAGTCCAAGGTTGTGGAGCCATCATCTGGCAAGGTCTTTTTTTGCTACATCATCTTATGGCAGAAGGCGGAAGGGTGAGAGAGAGAGCAAGAGATTGAATTCAAAGACCCGAGCTCTTTTATAATCAGTGTTAATATATTCATGAGGGCGGTGCCCTCATGACCTAAACACACCCCTCCATTGACCCTATCTCCCAGCACTGTTGCATTGGGGATTAAGTTTCCAACACATGCTTTTTGGGGGACACATTCAAACCATAGCAGGCATGTTAACTTTGAGATGGTCAAGGGGAGATGTCAAGTAGAAAGTAGGTAGTTGAACACACAGGGCTGGAACTCAGAATGAGGGGCTGGGCCGGAGTCATTACTATGGGAGGAACCAGCATTGAGGTGGGTTGTAGAGTGGGGTGGGAGGTCAATAAATCAAGGGACTAGAGACAGTTCTCAAAGTGGAGCTTTGAAAAGAGGGAGACTCCCTTTGTTCAGGACAGGTGAAAAAAAGAGTAAAGAGGGAGAGAAAGCTCAGGGCCTACTGTAGTCTCTAAAGGTGAGTTAGCTGGAGAGGATGATGGGAGATTTTCATGAATAGAGAGGCTGTCCCTACCTCTTCCCCAAGATCCTACATAATGATCAGAAATAACCAGCCCTACCACCTTGGGAGACCGGGTCCTGAGACCCAGTAATGAGTATCATCACAGAGATTGATTCTGCTCATTTGTTGCACTTCAGGTTAGCCACAGTTCCTGGAGATGGGAATGGGGTGGGGGGACACTCAACAAAGCCTGAACTCCAAGACCTTCTGGAAGGATGGGACTCTGGACTCCATGGGAAAGGTGGAGATGCAGGCACTGTGCTCCAGGCTGCCTGAAGCCCTCACCCCTACTCCTCCTGAGCAGGCAGAAGCAAAGGTGAGCCCCTCCTCTCCAGGCCTCAGCTTCCCTATGGACCTGCTCCAGGCTGTTATGTCCCCATCCCCTGTGGTGGCATGACAAAGCCTCAACCATCAATCCAAGTGTCCCTAGAGTCAACCAAGAAAGTCAATATTTAATTTGGGCACCATGTTAATGCCATCGATCGTCAGCTCCCCCCTCCTTCCTCAGGCTCATTTGTCACTTCCCACTCACTGGGGGTGGGGTGGGGTGCAACCTAGTAGAGGCAGAGCTCAGCCTGGACCTGGCCTGGGAGAACTGGCCTGGATGTGGAGGTGCTCCCCTGAACCACCCAGCTTCTAATCCCCCAACAATCACTGAGCTGCTTTGTCTGAGTTTCCTAAGTGCCATCCCTGGGGAGGTCAGTGAAGTGGGGAGGGGAGGTCAACTTTTCTCCCAGGCCCCCACATTGAGTCTAATTCCCTTCTGGGGCCATACATAGAGCAGGTGTGGTTGGGGGTTGACTGAGTGAAGGAGGGCTAGCACCTGCCACATATGCCACTGGGAGAGAAGTGAGAGCAAATCTTGAGACCCAGCTTCTGGATCCTTCCTAGGTGCCCGGTTCTGTAAGTGTGATGCTGTGGAAGTGGCATGGGAGCCCTGAGATGAGGTCATCTGTAGGACCCAGAGAGGAGGCTGAGGGAGCATTGAGCTTAGAGGTTTAGAGCTCAGCTGGGTAGCAAAAGAGGGGCTGGGGGAAGGGCAGTCTCCATTCAAATACTTGGCTGGGTCCAACTTCCAGTTTGTTCTTATCAGTTCTGTGGATCCAGATAAGGGCCCCTCAGCATTCTTCCCCAGCCCGGTTCACCCAGGGAGAGAATGCCTCCAGTCTGCTTCGGGGGCCAGGCTTTGGTCCCAACTGCAACTCCATCTCCAACTTGCTGAGTGACCTTGGACAAGTAACGTAACCTCTCTCAGCCTTAGATACCTTCTCTGAGAGATCTCTTGGACCTTGGTCACTTTGTACTGTTTTTAGAGGGTCAGGGATGGGCAGGAGCAAGCCTTGATGGTCCAAGGAGGGTATTTCCGAGTTCTCACAACGAGCAGCTCCCAAACCTGCTGACAGTGCTACTGCCTTCTTCCTACCTGTAGGGCTGCTTGCTGTCAATTAGGCCTGGGCCACAACGGCACCCTTGGTTCTCCTCGTTATCCAGAGTGCACAAGCCAAGACCATGTCACTGAGGGGATGGTTGGGCAAGCCCTGCCATCTAGCACTGGGTGACCAATGGGCAGACTGAGTTCAGTTTGGGATGCCAGCAAGACAGTAACATATGCACACACACATAAGCAGAAAGAAATTCTGAGGCCAGGCGCGGTGGCTCACGCCTGTAATCCCAGCACGTTGGGAGGCCAAGGTGGGTGGATCACCTGAGGTCAGAAGTTTGAGACCAGCCTGGCCAACATGGTGAAACCCTGTCTCTACTAAAAATACAAAAATTAGCCGGGTGTGGTGGCAGGTGCCTGTAATCCCAGCTACTTGGAAGACTGAGGCAGGAGAATCGCTTGAACCTGGGAGGCAGAGGTTGCAGTGAGCTGAGATTGTGTCATTGCACTCTAGCCTGGGCAACAAGAGTGAAACTCCATCTCGGAAAAAAACAAACAAACAAACAAAAAAAAAACGGAAATAAAAGAAGTTGTTCTGCTTTCATGAACTAATCCAGAATTTTGCAATTGAAAATCCAAAAGGAAGTGGTTTTCATTCCAGCATGTGCGTAAAGAAGTATGCACCATGGATTAATATTATTTCTGTTATGAATGATGTATGGGAATGCCAGACTCTTCCCAATGGATGGCATGTAAATGTCTTAATCTGGCCCCGTTGACCTACTCTGAGCCACTGAGTCAAGCCTTGAGCCAGGAGAACTTGATTTAGTCATTTATTTATCAGTAAACGGTGTCTGATGTCAACCCCATGCTGGGCCTTGGGGTGGGCACCAACAATGTAAAGATGAGGAAGGCATAATCTCTAAGAAGGCTCCCAAGATAGGGGAACTGGGGGAAGGGATGGATATTGTTTCCAGGGGCTTCCCATTGCTCTTTGACGAAAAGAAAGTCTCACTGTGGCCCAGGAGGCTCGGCACACTCTGGTCCCTGCCCATTACCCTGTCCAAATGTCCTGCCACTTGCTGTCACTGACTGAGCAGTTCCGTGGCCTCCTCTCTGCTCCTCAAACACATTTCATGGCTTCTCCCTTCCCAGGGCCTTTGTGTTTGCTGTGTCCTCAATTTGAAAGTCTCTTCCCTGGCTGTCTGCTTTGCTGGCTCTCATCTTTTGATAACTCCTCCAATGCCACCTCCTCAGAAACGCCTTCCTTGACTACCCCTTTCCCCCACCAAGTCATGTTTTAAAAATCACATCATCTAATGCTTTCCACAGTATCATTTCTCCTGATCTGAGTTTATATCACTTGTTTCCTATTTATTGTCTGTCTCCCCCACCGGACTGTGAGCCCCTGAGGGCACAACAGGGTCATACCTTCATACTGTTGCTGGGACCAGGGTAGGAACTGCATAGATATTGCTGAATGAATGAATGAGGAGACATTGGGAGGGGGCTGTCCAGGAAGCAATTAGAGCCGAAGGTCTAGTTCTCAGTACCCTGCCGCAGGCAGACTATCTATG